CCAGAAGAAAAGTGCTCCCCCACCCCCAGTCTGAAGATTGTCTAACCTTCTACCTCTAACCCAATACCTCCAACTTTCTGAATATACTTTTTAAGAAATGAAAGATTAACAGTTTTAGCCTCAGAGACAGGACTCCTACATAAACAGAATTTGTCCTACACAAATCTCATTTACTGGTTGTTTCTGAAACCAGCAGTTCTATTCACAGATAGATGATCTCTCTTTATCCCTCCTGTTTTGCCTTCGCCACTTTTATGGTACTTCAAAGAACCATAAAAGCATGGACTACACTACAGCCATGAACTACACTCTCACAGGCTTTCTATGTTATTTCCTCCTAGAATTGCTGTTGTGCTCAAGAAGAGAGACTAGATGGACAAGAGAATGTCCAGGAGCTTGTTGTCAGACTAAATGAAATAGTAACTACGAGAAATGCTGTATTGTCGAGTCTACAATTGAGATTGACTGTAGCAAACCATAAATGATTATTTTTTTCTCTTTTTACCTCCTGTGATGACAGAAGTCATCTTCCCTCTACATTACCAGGCTGAGCCTGGGAAAAGTTCTACTATGGGAAATACTACAGCTCTGTAGGAGGTTTTCCTCATTTTAAACTGTAACAATCTCATATATTTTGGGTTGCAAATGTAAAGCACGATGTAAGTTGAGAAGATAATTAACTAGTGACACAGTGCACTCTCCATCAGTTCAGATTTTGCAGTATGTGGGCAGCACTGACCCAGAGTCTAGAGCTGTCATGCTAGAATCACCATGATGCATTTTCTGGCCTGGAATACTTGTGTGACTGCTTGAACAAAGTGACAATCATTCTCAGTTGCATTTCCATGGCATAAGAAAATGTCTCTTTCATAATAATAAATAAGGAAAAAGAAGAAAGTCTGTGTGTCTTAGTGTGATAGGGCTGACCTGTGCAGAAGGGAATTCATTTAAAATACTGAGAACCTGTCTCTTGGGGGAGGATGCCATTAACCACAAGAGGGTCAGTGTCCCACACCGCACCTCCCCGCGGTGCCAGCAGGACCAGGAGTGGTCCCACAGAAAGCACCGCAGGTCCCGCAAGACCGGCGCCAGGCCCGGGGCGGCGCGGCGGGCTGACGTCAGGGCGGGACTGGTGCTGCGGCTGGCGGAACGGG